TTAATGGACCCATGCATATTAGACTTGTTAAACACCTTTGGTCCAATTAATGTTAATTTATGAGCAATTTCCGGAATTTTAGATAGTTGTACGTAATTTTTCATGAATGCTATATGATCTACACCGGATAATAGGGACTTTAATTTCCCTGTGTTACTAACTAATGCAGTCGCTCCTAACATAGCATATAAATGACCAGAATTTACCACTCCTACAGACGTATTGGATATATAGTTTTCAATAAGCATCTTAAGATGAACAAAATTGTCAAATCTAAAATTTTGAAATAACTCTTGGCACAAGCAAAACATCTCTGGAACATTTTTTTTGACTTGAGCTGCCAACTACCTAATGGCTGATCAGAGCTGCCAACTTTAATCTAATAGTGTTGCCGTATGGCTTGCATATCAATTTTCCATATTTTCAATTTTGCTTATATGCTTACATTCATATTGAAGTAGATAACGTTATCAGAGCAAAATCGTGGTGTTCGAGAATAAATACAAAGATTGTAAAAAGCTCGAGATTACGCAAAAGCCAAAAAAGCGACCGTTTGCTTTGAAAGAGAAACGTTAAAGTGGGCGCGTCAGGATGCTGAAATAAACTTGCGCTGCTTATGGACCTCAAGAATCTTCATGCTTAATCTCAACTTTGTATCTCTTATAGTTCCTAAGCTAAGTCAACTCTATTTTTGATACTGATCATAATATTGACCCATAATATTCAACAAACGGAAAACCATATCCATATTGAAATTAACAATCATACACAGAGGATGAAATTGAAAATAGTTCCACGAGTATTAGACGCTTTAAAAATGAAATTTCTTTATTTTATAAACTAATAGGTAATATGTAATAGAAAATAGTTATATTGTAGCTAGGAGTTCTACAAAATCGTCGGACTACATGTGAGTTTAATGTTTATTGTAATAAAACGCAATATTGATTCAACTATAATATTTATTATTAGGGAACATACTCATTAAAAAATAATTCAAGTCAATTAATAATTTTCACTTTTCACTAGTTTCCAAGTCCAAATTTGAATTGTCTGTGCCCAAAATGCATTTTCCATAATGCTTTGCCGCTCTTTTTAAGTATTTTTCAATAGTGTCTTGCAGGTCATAAATAGTTATAGACAGTATTTGAGAGCGATATTTCTCAGAATACGCAGGAGATATTTCATATAGAAAATAATCAATGCCAATATTTCCAGGTGCTATAGGCGAGTCTAATTGTTGCAGCACTCCAAGCTTTGCTTCAAATAAAGATTGTTGATCAATTAAATTTTTTTCGGATCGTAGCCAGTCATAAGTTTTCTCAAACACTTCAAGCGTTTTAGTTGAATGCGGGTCCCGATAGCTATAAAAGCTAAAAATTCCACTAGAACTAATCGTTGCACCAGATCCATAAGCTCCATTTTGCTCGCGAACCACCGGTAGAAGATATTTGGCTGTTACTAATTTGGCCAAAATTCGAAGTATGGGTTGTCTTTTTGCAGATATGCAACTGTGAAAAAAGATTTTGCGCAGAAGTTGACTGGAATATTCATCGAGTAATGTCGACAACCAGGTTCAGTAAAATTAATATTATTACATATCTTTGTTTTTTCAAATGTTGTTTACGAATGTTTTGTAACAATCAAAAGCCGTAATATTTTAATTGGCATATATTAAAATAAATCAATAAGATTTCTGTTGGATATTGGAAATGCTATGAGAAAGAATGGACTATGAATCCAATGTTTCCATTGATGAATCTGAGTTGGATGATATATTTAAGGCGTTAGAGTTAGTTGGGGATTCTGGTACTTTGATTTTGTTTGCTTCTTCAATAAGAGCTTTAATAATATTCGACCGCGAGCGATCGATTGGGCTGATTAAAGAGCTTGGGTCTTGTGTGTCGGGTGCAGTGGAGAGAAAAGATTTGTATGAATTTAAAAGAGATGAGATTGGCATGTTCGTGGGAGAGGTCGTGTTGGTTACACTATCGGGCTTCGGAGTTAATGTGTTTGTTGTTGTTTTCGTAGGTATCGTATTTTGGGTTCGGTCGGTTGTGGACGTAGGGCTTGCTGCGCTGGCGACAGAAGCGAAGGTAGTCGATGCGTTGTTATTGTTTATTTGTTGTAAAATATTGCGGGCTTCACGGAAGCTGCATTTCTTGCTTGTTTTTATGCAGAGAAGTTCTCTCTGGAATTGATATTTTGGGCATCTTGGAGAGGAGGCTGGATATCGGCGCTACAGTTTGCACAAAAAATGCGAGTGCAGGGCACTGGAAGATGAGGGGAGAGGTTACAAGAAACGCAAGTTGCAGTGTTCTTGCAGTGTTTCATTGTGTGTCCCAATAGTTGACAAGACTTGCACCTCATAGGATTAGGAAAATATTCCCTAACCTTTACGGTGTGCCAAGAGACGTCAAGCTTTCTTGGTATTTTGTAGGAGTCAAAAGTAACTAATATTTTTCCAGAAGGTTTGGGTTTGCCGTCAACAATTTTCGTGAATTTGTAGACGGGAGTTAACCTTTGATAGGTTTTTTTTTTTTGCTTTGAGGCCAACACTAAGGCTGGCAAAGTGGTTATCCCCAAGATTGGGTGGCCCAGGGGCCATAATAAAGATTATTGCTGTGCACTTGAGAAAAAATATGCAAAAACACACGTGCGCGATAGAAAGAAGGGAAGCGAAAAAATAAGCGAAAGGGGAAGTAGCGAAATTGCAAAAACCACTGACAATTAAGAAGACAACGACTTCCGCACTCGAAGAGAGATAGTCGATGACTAGTGCTATATTATTTGGGATCGTATGATTGGCAACATGAGCAATAAAGGAAAAGGCTTACCAGCACCACCGGGCGCATCTATGAAAAACAGTCCACCGCATTGTTCTGTGATTGCACTCATAATTATGTCATACGCAGTGCTTTGTTCTGGAACCAACTGCGGAAGATATATATCAACGCATGTCTTGACTTCGACAGAATCGAAGTTTGTTTCTCGTTGCACATCACAATCGTACAGATCATTTGCTGGTCGGATTAGAACTGGCTTTACCAGTTGCACCAGTGCCTTGTTAGCTTTTGCCAAGCATATGTCATCAACTAAAATTAAGGGATCGTTATACACGTTTGTTGTGAATAGATGACACAAACTTTACAATTAAACCTTTAAAAAAATTCAAATTTAACTGTTTAAAAAAGGGCTGCCAGTTTTATTCCTAGAGCACTGCCACATGTACTCCCTCAGCTTTTAAGGACTTGAGCTGCCAACCACCTAATGGCAGATCAGAGCTGCCAACTTTAATCTAATAGTGTTGCCGTATGGCTTGCATATCAATTTTCCATATTTTCAATTTTGCTTATATGCTTACATTCATCTTGAAGTAGATAACGTTATCAGAGCAAAATCGTGGTGTTCGAGAATAAATACAAAGATTGTAAAAAGCTCGAGATTATGCAAAAGCCAAAAAAGCGACCGTTTGCTTTGAAAGAGAAACGTTAAAGTGGGCGCGTCAGGATGCTGAAATAAACTTGCGCTGCTTATGGACCTCAAGAATCTTCATGCTTAATCTCAACTTTGTATCTCTTATAGTTCCTAAGCTAAGTCAACTCTATTTTTGATACTGATCATAATATTGGCCCATAATATTCAATTTATGAAATTAACAATCATACACGGAGGATGAAATTGAAAATAGTTCCACGAGTATTAGACGCTTTAAAAATGAAATTTCTTTATTTTATAAACTAATAGGTAATATGTAATAGAAAATAGTTATATTGTAGCTAGGAGTTCTACAAAATCGTCGGACTACATGTGAGTTTAATGTTTATTGTAATAAAACGCAATATTGATTCAACTATAATATTTATTATTAGGGAACATACTCATTAAAAAATAATTCAAGTCAATTAATAATTTTCCACTTTTCACTAGTTTCCAAGTCCAAATTTGAATGGACTGGGCCCAAAATGCATTTTCCATAATGCTTTGCCGGACTTTTAAAGTATTTTTCAATAGTGTCTTGCAGGTCATCAATAGTTATAGACAGTATTTGAGAGCGATATTTCTCAGAATACGCAGGAGATATTTCATATAGAAAATAATCAATGCCAATATTTCCAGGTGCTATAGGCGAGTCTAATTGTTGCAGCACTCCAAGCTTTGCTTCAAATAAAGATTGTTGATCAATTAAATTTTTTTCGGATCGTAGCCAGTCATAAGTTTTCTCAAACACTTCAAGCGTTTTAGTTGAATGCGGGTCCCGATAGCTATAAAAGCTAAAAATTCCACTAGAACTAATCGTTGCACCAGATCCATAAGCTCCATTTTGCTCGCGAACCACCGGTAGAAGATATTTGGCTGTTACTAATTTGGCCAAAATTCGAAGTATTGGGTGGTCTTTATGCAGATATGGAACTGTGAAAAAAGATTTTGCGCAGAAGTTGACTGGAATATTCATTGAGTAATGTTGACAGCTAGGTTCGGTAAAATTAATATTATTACGTATCTTTGTTTTTTCAAATGTTGGAAATGTTTCTACGAAAGTTTTGTAACAATCCAAAGCCGATGGCAGAAAATACTTTGAACTGTTAATGGACCCCTGCATATTAGACTTGTTAAACACCTTTGGTCCAATTAATGTTAATTTATGAGCAATTTCCGGAATTTTAGATAGTTGTACGTAATTTTTCATGAATGCTATATGATCTACACCGGATAATTGGGACTTTAATTTCCCAGCGTTACTAACTAATGCAGTCGCTCCTAACATAGCATATAAATGACCAGAATTTACCACTCCTACAGACGTATTGGATATATAGTTTTCAATAAGCATCTTAAGATGAACAAAATTGTCAAATTTAAAATTTTGAAATAACTCTTGGCATAAGCAAAACATCTCTGGAACATTTTTATCTAGTGCATGGGTGGTCATCATTACGCTGAGTTTGTAACTAGCTGCATCCTTCACATCTTCAATCAAATTCAACTCCAAATCGATACCACCGGTTTTTGAAAGAACGAGCTTATCGAACTCCCGATAATTATACTTCGCAGTACCCATAGCACTCACAACATTGCAAAACAACGGCAAAAGCTGTATTTCTTCATCATTTAAATCTGATATATTGAACAAACACTTTAAATATGTAATATCATTTGTTGAAACTGTGCAAATCTGGGTCTTTATATTATGAATATTTTGAATAAACAACTTTGGCCATTTGGGTGGCTCTCTCACATCACTCATTGTAAGACACGGTAAAATTTCGATATTTGATTTAGCCTTTTGAAATGCATCCAAGGTTAACCCATTCTCAAATATTTTTTGTAACTTTTCTTTATTGAAGTCTTTTACTTTGTGCTCTAGCAACTCTAATTCAGCCTTTTTAAAGTTGTCCTCGTATAACTCATCAGGCGACATAGTTAATATAAGTCTATGAGTGTTATTGATGAAATATTTCTCTATTTTGTTTTGGAAATGCCTATTGTCTTCGCTTAGGCTTTCTCGCAGACGTGATATCATATCTGACACGCGGAGGTTACTCACTACGTCGCCTTCATGATTCCACAAGGCCGTGGAATTGAACAACAAGGTATTTCCAAAATGGGGACTTTGGTGTTTTAGTGACAACTCACGGTTGTGCAAAACACTTTCAACATGCTGCGAATCCAGCCCTTCCTTCATAGCGTTAGAAACTGTTTTAGCAAAAATGTCGATGAATTTAGAAAAGTCTTCAACTCGAACGTCTTGTAGTCCCACTGCAAAAGTTGTATCCTTAGTACCCGATGAATATCCCGTACTTTGGTTGTAACCCCCGGAAAAATTTGGTTCAATAAGACTCTTGTAGAATGCCGAGTTTGGTCCACGAAGTAGTACCTCAGACAGAACGTGTAGTTCAAAATTCTCTTGTATGTTGGTCGCATCACACATCAACAGAGCAATAGCGATTTGGTTTTGCCTGTCAATTACGGCGCCCATATTATCTAGCCTACCAGAGATGTGTACATTACGGGGCTGTGTCCATCGCTTTTGCTGAGGTATTCGACTGTATGAGATGTCAATCCAACATTCTTCTGATAAGTACTCCTTATCGAGAAGTTCAAGAGTTTTAGTTGGATCAAATGTTCCGTAGGAATATATCCGAGAGTTACTTGGGTGATAATATTTTTTGTGGAACTCAATCAAATCAGTGTGATTTAATTTAGGTATATCCAAAGGATTTCCTCCAGACACATGGCCATACGTGTGGCCAGGAAATAAATTATTGAGAAGTTTTTGACTGAAAGCTTCTGCATTTTCAGAAAAGACACCCTTCATTTCATTATAAACTACTCCTTTTATAACAAGCTGTGAGCTTTGATCATGTATATCTTTGTTTTCTAGCCTCCATCCCTCTTGAAGAAAATCCAAATAGGTAAGATTTGGCCTACGTAAAAAAGTATAAATATATACCAATCGAGGTCTTTAATTTTGAGCTTACCTGAAGACAGCATCCAAGTAAATTCGCTGCAAATTCCTAAAATCTATCTCATTCATAGTGGAAAAAGGGTATATAGTATAGTCCGGACCTGTCATCGCATTCATAAACGTTGCTACCGAGCGGTTAATCATCTTAAAGAATGGATCCCGGACAGGATACTTTTTTGAACCGCATAACGATAAGTGCTCCAAAATATGAGAAAGTCCAGTAGAATCGAAAGGAGTTGTTCGAAAATTTATAGAAAATACGTTATTTGCGTCATTTCGGTCGATATGCCAAAACTCCGTTCCAGTTCCTTCATGACGTAGCGTATAGGATGTAAGATCAAATTCAGAAACATGCTCAACACGTTCGCACCGAAAACCATGATATACATTTCCCTCGGTATACCTGCTATTACGTTTATAACTTACATGCGGCGCAATAACCTGCCTATGTAATAATTTGGGTTTCTTAGCTTTAGCAGCAGATGTCTTTACAAATGTTGATAGGGACTTAAAACTTGATGTTACACATCTAGCCCGTACAACGTAGTGACGTGTAGACCTCAGCAAATTCAACCGAGAAAACATTGTTGTGCCTAGAGAAAAGCACAACTTTTCAGTTATCTGAATTGGTATCACATTTACAGGTTCTATACATATACGAATACATGTGTCTGAAGAAGCTAGAAGTATGTGACATATATACATATGTATGTATATATGGTTTTTACAGTGGATAACTTTAATAATCGGCTTCTTATATATTTAAAATAAAAAGCTTATTTAATTACCTTTTCATAGATATAGATATATAGCATCATGGAATCAGAATTTTTATTGGTATATATACATAAATTGGCCTTTGCCATTTACATTTTTTAAATAGTTTCATGTAAATTCTAAGTCCAATTTGGCGTCACTTTTTCGCCTTATCATGTAAGGCGTTAAACTTGTTCTGCTTGTCTACATAGACTAAACCCTAACATAACCCCACAAAATATTCTCAAGGGGCGTTAAATGATCTGGGTGGCCAAATTACAGGGCCATTTCGTGACATAAGCTTCTCAACAAATTTATATTTCAACATGTCTATTGTTTCACAAGCTGTCTGGCCTGTGGGGCTCAACCCAGTTCAACTTAGTCAATTGTTTAATATCCAACAAGGTAATTTTAGTGCAAAATTTGGTAACAACAGAACGAATTGTTGAAGAGCAAGAATTAGACTTATGACGTTTAGATGCCATTACCAACTAGTGCCTCGAGAACGAAAAATTTAACTCTTAAAAAATCACCCGTTATTAGGACTGAATTAACCCAAATATCCCGAAAAAATTTCAAAATATGTTAAAACACTTAAATGATGGGATGGATATGTTTGTTTTCTAGAAAAAGTAGTTATTTCTAGGTAACTACTATGAATAAAATAAATATTGAAGTAACGACAAATTGCGCGTTTTTCATTGGTTTTCTCTTTTAATTTTAAATAAAGTCCTAATATATACATATGTACATACCTATGAAAAGGTAATAAGCTTTACTATACCATTTTTAATTTAGTTTTTAAAGTTACTTTTAACCATTTTCTTTTCGTTTAAGTTCAAAATATACAGACATACATATGTATCTACATACCCAGTATATTACTATAAAGAGAATATTTAGCAGCCATACATACAGTTAGTCAATAAAGTATTTGTTGCTAGGGTGCGTCAGAGAATATTGCAGTTTTTTAATGGTTTTAAATTTCAAAATGGGTATACATATGAACATACATCTCGAGAGATGTCTTAGCTTTTTTTTTTGTTTTTCTATGAAAAACGCAGCAATGGACCTCGTTTTTTTTAAAATTTCTTGTTATATTTAAAAAATAATGATTAATTTAAAACAAAAACTTAAGTAAACCATTTTTTACTCTTTCATTAAGAAAATAAATCCACTTGATCATGCAGTACCATCACAACGAATACTTTATTGACTAACTGTACATATTTGTATCACAACAAAAATTTTTTGACGACCTCGTTCCTTCTGGACTTATTTTTTTAATTTAACGATAAAGTATTCTTTTTGCTATATTTACCAATTTTTTTTACAATTTAGGCATACCAAATTATAAATAAATTAATGAAGAAATCACTAAATATTAAGTCTCCATACTTTATATAATTGGTATACAACTAGAGTTGAGAAAAAATCGATGTCGACATCGATTCATCTTTTTCGGTCGATGCATAGATCCGGTTTTAAAACAATCGATGTATCAAATCCATTTTTAAGAAAAATTCCACTACTGTGAATAAGAGAGAAACAAAACGTGCCCTAAGACTAATTTAATTGAAATTGTGAATTTATCTCTCGATTTAACATATTTTTATTATGGGAGAAAAATTTAATATTTTTTATAGAATTTCAGGTATATATTCTCTCATTCAGTGTTTAGTACTTGTTTTGCAATGCTAGAGATTGAAATTTAATACTTATATTTCGTTCTTATGTTATTAAAATTCATCTGATATTTGTATTTTCTTATTTAATTCTTTTTTTATTTAATTCATACAAATGTAGTTTTGTTTACTAATAGTTTAGAAGATTTTCATTGAGATCCATGATTAAAAAAAATATAATAACGATTTAATCGATGTGTTTTTCTAAGCGATCGAAAAGAATCGATGCACTGAGAATAGATTTTTCCCCTGCTATACTGCAAGGTTCTTAAAGAAGAAAACCCACCAAAAAAACACCCACAGCCACCGTTCCAGATGTTAATACTTCAACCCCTCCCAAGACAACAAGGTTAACACCGAACAATGTTAAACATCGAAGACCAAACTCCGTTCAATAGAGCTGGGAGTGCTCTAAGCTTGTTGTATTTAATGTCATTAAAATAAAATCTTTCGGAAAAATAACGGCTTCCGCCAGAGTAACTTTCCTTGAGCGACCGCTCTTAATTGGTATACTAAAGAAATATAAGCATTGTCTTAGAGCCAGCAGCGCTCGTTACTTCGATTTATCTGCCTATGTCGAAGACAAAGCTTAAACTGTTCTGCATGTCGGACTTACTTGCGCTACCTTCGTCCCATCTTCTTCACTTTCACTTTCAAATTACCGTTTCACTTCTCTATATGGGCCCCGGACGCTCATCAAGACTAACCTAGGTGGTTGACACTTCACATTCACTGAAAGGCCGAATAATCTAATTCGAATAACATTATCTTAGCAAACTAAAAATAAAATATAAAAGTATCTGCAAAAGTATTAATTTTAATAAGAAATAATATTCAAATAGTTTTTTTTCACTTTAAACAAAATTTTACTCCAAAATTCCTTGTGATTATGGAATTTGTTTACAGTTGGGTGCCAATTAGGTTATGATATAATGGGGGTCACCATGGTGCTGGGGTCTACGTCCGGTGAACGGCCTCTTCCCGATCGACTGAGGAGTACCGTTCGGTGGCGCCTTGAAATGGCCGGCGGGTTATGTAACCAGGCCGGCGGAATATGTAACCAGGCCGGCGGATTATGTGACGAGGCCGGCGGGGCTTGAGTCAAACGTGGTCTCCTGGCCAGGCGCAGATTTATGGAGGCGCAGATGTTTGGTCATCGGAGTGCTCTCCGGGATGCAGCGCCTTCGTAGGTGACCGGGTGTAGGGCGCCAGTTAGACGTCGTTAAGTAATACGGTGGAAGGAACTACCTTCGTTGTTAGTGGTCCTTAAGGTACGATAACTCAAAACGGAAATATAATCGGTTATATATAACCGATTCCGCCAGACTACCTTACCTTGAGCGACCATTCTTTATTGGGATACTCAAGAAGGCTTAAACCAAGATCTAAAAATTTAAAATTTTCTTATCAAAAAAGAAAATGATAATACATAAAATACATTCAATCATATTTAAATCAAATGACATAATTAATTTTTTTTTTTGTGAAATAAAAAAAATTTCCCACAATAAAAAAGAAGTTAAGTTTTTTTTTTCTTTAATAGTATTATTATTTTATATTCATATGCTACCATATGACCAGTATTCAGTTTCAAGGGATTTTAAGAACACCCTTTGTGTGCGTTCGTCACTCTTCTTCTTGCGTCCCATACAACACATTTGATGGCGGACGCCAGCCGCTCTAAAGGCACCGAACTATCTGAGGTAATTACCTACTTCATGGCCAGCTTTTAGAGGCCAGTCATAGTCGCTCTATGGGATGTCCACACTTCAAGTGGATTGCATTCCCATGAAGCACTCGATGTCTCTTTGGAATTCAGAGTAACGAAGTCAAAAATATCAAAAAATATCCAAAAATATCAAAAATATCGGAATTCCGATATTTGGGCAAACAAAATATCCCGATATATAATAATATATCCCGATATATAATTTTTAGAAAATTATATAGATATATTGATATACTATCAACAACCCTACACAAAACAATAACTAAAACAAGGAATGGTAAAAACGAGAACCGGTCTTAAAAGTTTTGGGAGAGCTAGAAAGTGTAATCGTGGTATGTCCCAACGTAGAGTGGGTATATGTATATAAGTTGTACAAGTTTTTTTGGAACAAAAAATAAATCAAGAACAATCGTTGCGGCTTTTTTGGAATCAAAATCCAATTTTTTATTATAAGATTGAATTGGCCTTTTCAGACCTCGGCCTATGAGTTTATATATTACATACATATGAGTGTATGTGATACGATTGACTTCGCCTCAGTTAAGCCCATATTGTAGGAAATGCAATGAATAACATAGCATTTCTATTTGCATTATGTACAGGGAGAATTATCCCATTTAATCCAGCTTAGTGGATCCCAGACTTAGATTTTTATACCCGTTACTCGTATAGTTAAAGGGTATACTTGATTCGTTGAAAAAGGAGGAAGGAAGCGTTTCCCACCCTATAAAGTTTATATATTCTTGATCAGTATCAATAGCGAAGTTGATTGGCTTTAGAAAACGCATTTTAAAAATACCACTGCAACTTGTCACGAGTTTTCATCCGGCAACGCCCACTCTAACGCCCACAAACCGCGGAAAACTGTGGCGTCTATAATATTATTAGGAATGCCTTCGTTTGACCTTGTATAACTTATTTCTGTTAATATCTATCGATTTGCCAAAGATTTTGTAAATCGGAACATTATTTCGCTATTTATGAAGAAATTTAAATTAGAAGGCCTCACACGCCACTTTTAGTTACTCAACAGCTTTCTCTAACAATAGATGGCGCTTTGTAAATTTCCAGTGGCAAATTAATATTTTAAAATTGTGTAAAACAATAACGGATATCTTAAAGATAAATTAACATTTGTATTCTTTTTTCACGCTACCGATAACCGCATTTGAAAAAACTTTGGTCTTTGTCCGCATAATCCGTGTTTAGCAACTAAGAATTTGTAATTGCGTTAGAATAAATAAATCGGGGCAGTTTAATTTCCAAATTTTTATTACGAGTTCAAATCATAACCAAATTAACTCCGCAACAAAACCACGCAGAATGCAAGAAGTACCGCTTAACTAGAAAAGCTTCAAGCTACAGCAGTAATACAAAGTTCCCAAAAGCGCTTGCGCTACAAAGTAACAGTAAAGCGCATTCGAAACTGAGATAATCAAACAAACCAGAAACTGCTGAAAAACCCGCCGCTGCTCATCAGTCTTTGCCTTGGCTGCTTGGCCCAACTCCCTGCCCCCGTTGAAGTCTGGCCCTTCAACAAAGACCTTGAAGAGCAGCCTAGACACCTTGCCGCCTTGTCGTTCTAACAGCTGTCTTTAGTGCAGCAACACAGATCAGTTTTTACAGACCGATGGAACTTGTAGGTGGTCAAAAGAGCGCCCTCGTTGAGCAAAACGCTGCAGCTGCCAGCATCCAATGGCCACCATCGTTGTCCTTATTGTTCCCTTATGCTTCACGAACTTGCCCTTGGGATCGATCTCCTTGTACTCCACATTGCCTTTGGCACTGGCTGACACATAGTAGTGCTTGCCGTAGACAGCGAGAGAGGGACCTTGATGTCCACGAGGTCCTGGTATTGATAGGCTTCTTCTCGAGCTAAGCCACCTCTTGGTGGTGACGCTTGCGAGTGTTATCTAGTTTCTGCTCCAATTCACGCACGAGCTCAAAATAGTGAGTCTTGGCATTTAGACTGTCAATACGAACACGAGTCGAGCGCAACTCTTCAATGGACTTGTGCGTAGAGTTGGATGTGCGTGCAGTAGCCCCTTATAGACGACGGACTTTATCATCGTATAGCGACTCGATAATTCGCATCTGCTCGTCATACTGGGAGCGCGGCTCCTATAGCGACTGCTTCAACTTGGCATCCTACTCGAAGCTGAGGCGTCCATCGATTACGCTGTTACCTGTCTGGCGGATACGGCGCGACTTATTTATCTCCTGTGAGTGGAAATGATCCTTGAATAACAGCTCCTCACGCAGGCTCTGAATCGTAATTTTAAAGTCAAAACTTGTTGGAGAGAGCAGATCAAAAAACAGGCTGGCTCCAATCAGCAAATCCACACGTAGCGCTCAGTGGAAGCTCGAACAGGATACCGCACAGGGCACACGGAGCAGGCGGTGGAGTAAGGAGCATCCACGAACTATTATTAAGTGGACTACGTCGGCTCACTTGATCCGCTGGCAGATGTGGAGCTAAGGCCATATTCACAGTCTCAAGGGTACGGCACCTTTGTTTCAAAAACCGAGCCATAGATCCCCAAGTTGGCAGGCTGTCGGCACTGTTTCCTGCAAGAGAGTGTTCCCACTTTGCCATTGTGCAGGGTCCAGTTTTTGAAAGATAATCTAGATCAGGAGGCATCCTCCAATTTCGTCAGCCGTCCCGAAACTGAGGGAGCAGTCAGCTCCAGACTCCATCCAAAACGGAATGAGATGTCGTCTAAACTAAACTAAGAGTTCTTAATTGCTTTAAAATAAATAAATCGGGGTAGTTAAATTTCAAAAATTTGTATTACTGCAGAATGCAAGAGCTTAAATAGAAAAGCTTCGAGCACAGCAGTTCTTCAAACCTCATACGTTACAAAGTAACAGTAAAGCCCATGCAAAACCGAGATAATCAAAACCAACTGGAAACTGCTGATCAACCCGCCGCTGCTCATTCGTCTTTGATTTGCCTGCTTGGCCCAATAATCCGTATAAAGTTTACTAGAAGGAAAAAAATAAAGTCCAGTCGCTATGCTTGATATCTTACCT